AGAGAGAGTGTGCGTGTATATCAGCAAGTAAGAGTTACTCAGTAACCTGAGGCAGGAGGACTACAATTTTGAGGCCAGCCTGGGCTATACAAAGAGATCTTGTCTCAAAAAAGAAAATACCAAACAAAATTCTACAAAGATATTCACCAAACAATAATTACTGCTGGAGAATCAAACTAGCAAGAGTAAAGGAACAAAGTCACTTTCTATATCATCTATTTTTGATAACTGTCTATTTAATAGCAAGCATGTACTATTTTTCATAACTTTTTTTGTTTTTGGTCTTTTTGAGATAGGGTTTCACTATGCCATTCAGGCTGGCTGTGAGAACATTATGTATCCCGGCCTGGCATTGAACTCAAAGCGATCTTCCTTCCCCAACCTCCAAGTGCTGGGATTATAGGCATGTACCACTGTGCCCAGATTTTTCATAAATTTTAATCTCCAATGCATAAAAATTATTTACATGTACCAACAGTTTGGATTATGTTTTGTTTGTTCTGAGAAAGGATCTTGCTTGTAGCCCAGGCTGGCCTCCAATTCACAGTGATCCTCCTGCCTCAGCCTTCTGAGTGCTGGGATCTAGCCACCACAACTGACTAGATTACTTGATTGTTTCCACACATTACATTCTATCAATACTGGGAAAGCAGGGAAGACGCTGCCCAAGGGGCGACAAGCTACAGTCAGACAACAGCAAGCTCCGGCACACTACTGCACAGTAGGATGACTGCAGATAGTGATATGGTATTTCAAAAAGCTGGAAAAAGGGACTTCTAATATTTTCATCAAAAATCACTGAAAAATGTTTGAGAAGATTGCTTTAACCTTACTTATTTTTTTTAACTTGCAGAACCGGGGATTGAACTCAGGCCCTTGCCCTTGCCAGGGAAGCACTTATTCTACTGAGCCATCACCCTGGCCCAACCTTACTTATTAAACAACATATACATTATGGAAACATCACCTGTTAGCCTAGAAATTTGTACAATTTTTTTAATATATCACCTACTTTAAATATTTTTAAAAATTTACACATGAAGTACATCTACATATATGTAACTTTCTAATAAAAATTGAACATGACAGCAAATTCAGTAAGTTTTATTTGGTTTCTAATGCAAAGGGTTCTTATAATATCTTTACTCAGAATATAGCTTAGAGGCACCACCCAAATGATATCTCTAAACTGAAAAGCCTGAGAGACAATTTCTAAATAATAAGGACAACTCATCCCCTTTAGTGGCCATACATAACTCCAGCACATCCAGGCTTTAATAACTGTTATGGTCTATGTCTGGAGGTCCCCCCAGAGCCTCATGCAGTCACGGGGCAGGTATCTGAAGTCTGTGACTGATTCATGGTCCAATGCTGGGATTGGGGTGGCCCTGGCGTGGGCGGCCTGCATAGACTAGAAGGGAAGGAAAGAGGCTTGTTTCTCTGTCCTCCTTTTTGCTCTTGTTGCTCTTGCTGTTTTCTTTTGCCATGGACTGCTGTCCTCTGCCATGTGCCACTGCCTTGGAGCAAGCTGCGTATGGACTGAAATCTCCACAAAAAACTGTGAGCTACATGAATCTTTCCTTCCTTAATTTAGGGGCATCAGGTATAAGAGTAACTAACCACCATCAGTACCCAGGGAACTGCATTTTTCAAAATGAACAAAGCTCCCTGCAAGAGGACATGCAGAAAAGAACATAAAGCACAGTCCTTATTTCCAAGGAGCAAACCAAGGTGGAAAGGACTGAGGGAAGGCAGAGCAGAGAGGGAGGGCATGCACACAGCACTGACCCTCAGCCCAGTGCTCCTCCTTCCCCTGCCCATGCCTGCACCTCGGCCCTGTACCCTCCACACAAGTGTGAATCAAGCTGCTGAAGGACTGAGGCTGGGCCTACCTTTTCCAGAATGAACCTGTTCAGGTAGGGCATGTAGCCCTGGTTGGAGACGGGTCCTTCATCATCATCCCTGAAGTGCTCTTCCAGCGCCACCGGGTCATGAGGGACCTTCAGCACTGTGCACAGGTTGTGGGAGAGGACCTGCATGGAGGAAAGGAGTCGTATGAAGGCTCATGCTGGCTGGAGCACACCACCCTGCTCGCAGCCCTAGGGAAAGACAGAGGGTAAGCCCAAGGCACCAAGGGACTGCGAACTGCTCCATGGCAGCCCCTGCTTGCTGCCCAGGAACCTCGCAGTCCTCCTGTTTGGGTTCTAACAAGTCCATACTACAGGGCGGCTGTGAGCCAGGCCCAGGTGAGGTCTGTGAATACAACATGCCTTGTAGTCTTTTAGTAAATGGTCCAGATTTAAAAGAAAGGGGAAGGGGCAAGAGAATGTATTTCCAACTCAACTCTTCCCCAGGGATAGCAGGGTCAGCTAATTAGAGCTGCTCTAGAGAGAGAAGCTGCCAGGGCAGCCCCACCAGGCACAGCGGACCTCTCCAAGCTTCGGATTGCTCATTTAGGAAGTAGAAAGGACCAGATTAATAAACATAGTAAATCTTAATTATCAATAGCTAAATGCTCAAACATCACTATATCTCTATAACTATAGGTTAAATGTCAATGTGAGTATAAAACACAGACATGAAAAAGAAATCAAGAGTCTGGGTTAGAAATGGAAAAACCTATGTGAGGTACAGTGGTTATCAGAGGTTGGGAAGGCAGAGAGGGAGGTGGGGAAGGAAGGCTGGACTCATCCGTGCGCTCTAGATGCCGCCGGGCAATCTCACACTGCGTCCCTCTAACATATACAATTACTAAAAAACCTTCAGAGCCACCAAAATGGTTTAAAATATTTTATACAAAATCTGCGCCCCATAGCATAAGCACATAAAGAACCATGACTGGTCTTGCAATAACCCAAGCACCCGCCTCCTCACAAAGGCAGAATTCCTGGCTGGAGTTACCTCAGTACCAATGGTAT